AAATAAAACTCTTGTTCCAGTGGTCGCATCCTCTTCTTCCGAAGATGCGATCACAGGGACAACACTTTTATTCGCCTGAAGTTTCGACATCCGTTGCGGATTTTTCTTCAGTGACGTTAGCAGGAATTTGTAGCAGAAACGGTAATACATTCCCAGGCGGTGGCAGCAATTCATAGACTAAAGCCATTACTGCAAACGCATGAAAACCACACTTAACGATAATTGCCCTCTTGTGTGTTGATAGCTTGTTGACGGGCATGCGGGCTCTGACGTGGTGAACTTTCATCACGCATGGTGGAATTGGACGTGAGAATTGCTCGGCCATCTGTTTCCCCGGCGTTGGCGTAAAACGACATGGTGCTCTGTGCGTTCTCCAACTTGCGACTTGCTTTGGCCAAATTGAGCCTCAGCGCCAAATGTGGGTTGGGAAGGTCTTTGCACCTGTTTATGGACTGAAGACCCGTGAACCATGACTCCAGTAATTTGTCGGCTAACACGATTGTCACATCTTGCAGGAATGTCGGCCTCATAAAATTTGAATGTAGGACCGGGTTTCGTCGCGTGAGCGGCAAGTTGAGCATTGACATTATTTCGCCGCACTGTTGCTGCGTGTTCGGCAATTCGTGTCTTAAGACGTCTGCCAGTATTTTCGACGTAATTGCTTTATTCGCAACTGTACCAGATTCTACTAGACGACTCCAGATATTTTATGCTGTGACAGTGGGTCTTTTGGTCTCATTATATGACGCCTTATAGTTGCCTCTGGCCTGTGCGTGACGCCAACTCCAAGTGGTACGAGAAGGCGGCCGACGACCTACGAGATGTTTTCGACGTAATGGATTGCTGGCCAAAATTCGGGATCGGTTTGATTAAAATATTACCCAGAAGTATTTAGGAACAGCCAAGCCATATGACGAAATTCGATATAAAAGCCATCATTTGCGATCTCCTTCAGGTACAACCTCAAAGCACAGCGAGACGCGTTCCGCGAGTGCAACTCTAGCAATCGCTGTCGATTAGTAGCATACGCAGTAGGAAACTAACGACGCCGAAAAGGAAGACTCTGATGAGCGTTTCTGAGTTGTTAGCCAAGGTTATCTAAATTCAGAATTTCCTTTACCTGCGACTCGATTCCGCGTTCTTTTGTTCTTAAGTCCAACATCCTATCAGTTGAGCCCGATAGCAACTGAGCGGACTCAGAAGCCGTGGCTCCATTGGTAGGAGTTTGGACTTAGTGACTCTCGATGACCAGGTTCACAAACCGCGGCTTGCCTACGCTTAGCTGACGAAAGCTAGTAAACCGGTAATGGCCATCCCAGTCTCCGTTGTCTTAGTCAGTTATATCATTAAGACTACTATTAGTGTTCTACTGCAGTCAAGGCCTGATTACAATTATGCATAGTAACTATGAGCCACAATAACGTATGTAGCATGTTAAAGGAACTACTCTAGAAGCTTAAAATTTCGTCGCATTTGCAAGTTAAAACTTAAAAGATTGGTGAACTGTCGAGTTTATCGCCATCGGGATATGCCTGGCATGCGACCAAGGACACTTACTTTGCCCTAATAATAGTAGTACTAATACGGGGAGGTTCGGTCGTATTTGTCTTACTTTTACCCTTTCGGAGAGGTTTTCCGAGGCAGCAGCCTTGTCGACGAAAGCAAACCTCCTAAAAGCAAGGAGTGTCAATATCTTCCGATCTAAACTAGCAAGCCGACGAGCTCGTGGTTCATTGGTTAGGGCGGCCGATTCTGATCAGACGGTCGCGGGTTAAAGGCTCGGGACCTTGTACGACAGGCTGAGGACGGCTAATAAGCCAGAAATGACAATTACAGTCTCCTTTGTCTTTGCTGACAATAATATTTGCTTATACAGCTGCAGCTACAGCCGTGAGGGTCCAAGAAATGAGGTCCAAGGCAAAGGCGGAGTGGAACAAGTCAGGTCCGTTAGCGATCAGCGAACGTTAATCAACGAGTGTCACTAACATACGTTCCCTAAAAATGCCATCATTCTACCATAAATGGAGAATAAAGAAGTAAATACGATGGGTGAGACAAGAACTTTATTCATATGACGTTGATCAGAAAACGTCAGGTTACTATAATTCTTCCTAGGGCGACCGCATCTTCTCATTCTGTACTGCTTTCTGGAACTCCTTTGTTCGTGTCTGTCAGCAACAGTAGGGTCTGTTTTGTCACCCACAATTGATGTTACTCTGTACTACTACTATGTACAATCTAATGCGGCCCATAGGCCCAGCGTTTGAGATAGTTTATCTTGAGCTGCACACAAATTAGGTGGGAGGATTTTTAAGTTGGTTTATTAGCTTTGATATAGAAGCATCCGAAGGCAATATACCGTCCTAATCTCATTTGGGATAATTTACGGTCATCGTGAAACTTTCACTAGGAAAGCCTGGACTGTCAGGGAAGGCGGGCGACTTGGCCTGGCTGTATTCATCGCCCTTGTTCATGCCTCTAATTCAGTCGGACAGGATGTATATTAGAGAGGCGTAATAATACGCTCCGTCAAATTGTACTGGCAGTTTTTGGCTTTTCTAAGCTTAAATTAAGCCCTATCGGGGAGGGTACTTATTACAAGATAATTGCAAAGCGTTTGGTATGTCTTCATAACAGAAGAATCACTTAAGAGTAGCACAATATGCTAAGCAATGTTACAGTACGTATCACTATTAACAGCGACGTATTGGTCCATTCTTGTCACCTTTAGCTATAAAAAAACTTTTTTACGTTCTGTAATCCACTATTCCTTTAATGATAGAGAACACTGACCTGTTAGGGAGGAAGAGGGCATGTCGATCACCGACATCATGGTCTTATTCGCCTGAGCTTACGAACTTTTCCTGAAGTTCCTCGTTTAAATTCGCAGCAGCGAAGATAATTGCCCACGCCGGCAGCAAGACACGCCGAGAGTTTATTGAAGCCTGGACCTCGGATGAGAACTTTGTAAATCGATTTATCGACCTGGCGCAGGATTGACGTCATTGGTGGTTGAGTGGCACGCGTTATCTATAAACGCTGCTTGTTTTTCTGTTGACGTTTTTATCTCTGACGCTGGACGCCAGTAACAGTTCGAAAGCTTGGACTAATCAAACTATGATTCTGGTGATCAAACTGCCTTCTTCTTCTTTTTCTTCTCTATTTATGCACACACGTTTGGTGGGAATATTCGCCTCAAAGTTGACCTGAATTGCCAAGAGCAAACTTAGACTTTTACATTGTACGTAGGCGCTGTGACTCAATTTAGGGCAGACCTGCGCATGTTTACC